AAATAAATAAATAAATAAATAAATAAATAAATAAATGTCTGTGGACAGACCATTTTTCTCTCCCTAAGTTTTTGCGTCGCGCTTTAACCAATAATTATTTGATTGCAGCATAGTTATTTCGTTGATGTCCAAAGTTATTTCAAAGGATCAAAATTGGAAAGAAGTACAGCATTTCCTCTTGTGCATGTCTATAAGTGAGAGCCCTAAATTGAAACAAAAATACTTAAACTTGTTTTTGAGTCCAAGTAGTCAATGTTCGGAAAGTCTTCTTCAGTCGTTTGCAACAACAAAGATCACTTCATTTCTCTTCTTCCCAAAATGGAGAAGGTTCTCGTACCTCGCGGTAAAAACCACTTGTTTGTCGTACTTTTTCCCTTCGCTATCCAAAATTCTCTTCAACTTGAAGACTTCTTCCTGCCACTTGTCTTCGCTAGCAAACCCCTCGAAGCTCGACACGTAGGCAAAGTGTTCAGCCACGTCTTGGATGAAAAGACCGCCCTCGCTCGGCGCTGGTGGTCGGTTTGCGTTCTCGTAGGGCAGATGAAGAGACGCAACAAACTCGCTTTCTTCCCACTCTCCGTTCTTTCCGAGCTCTACTCGAACTTTAAGCGGACAAGTCAAGTCCATGAACTTCTCCGGGCCATTCTTGCCATTGAAGTAGCGACCGAGGATCTTTTCTCCTTTACTAAGCGCTTTGCTGTGTTCCATATTCTCGAAACGCGCCGAAATCCAAGTGGAATTTTCGTACTGTCGGTACTCGTAATCTCTCGTGAAGTTCATGACGCGAAACTTTGGACCATCCCTCCCTCGATAATACTTAGGTTTTCGAAATGCCTCTATATCCTCTTCGTCCTCTTTGTCTAATTGATCAGTAGAAACAAATATTCCCATCCTAGCAGTTATCTAACCTCGGGCAAGACAAACATTAAAAGATATCTCTCACATGTAATTACATGTAACGATATGCGAGATGAAACCTCAAACACCTTTTGTGGACTGTATGAATACCTTGCGAATAAATGCAAACTTGGTTCCTAATTATTATTACAATCATCTATAGAAGCTTGAAGGATCTCACAAAAATGTTTGTTGTTTAACATGTTTAATAGTTAATTAAGAAACTTAGAATCCCAAACACGGTTTTAGTCGATCATAGCAACGAAATTGTATCAACCGAAACATGTGGTATTCGTCTTCTTTAATAGGGTCGATCTAATCCAGGTACCGTTTAATTTAGGTTTTTGCTCTTTAGTCTTATAACGAAAAATCCCGAAAACAAATTAGAGCAGCAAAGTTGATCGGATTGAAGCACGAAATCCATTTAAAATAATGATTTAAATAATTGATTTGAGAATTGCAGCAATGTCAGGGTAATGTTATCATGACTAAAAATTCGTTAATTACTTTCACTTTTGTTACATGTGGGCGGAAAAGAAATGGAAATAGAAATCATTTTCCGTTTTCTTTATGCGCTCAGTTTTGATCATTTATGAAAGACGGAATTAGTGCATTATAAATACGGATCATTATTCGCTTAGGAAATAATCCAAAGAATTCATTCCAAGTCTACCATGCTGTAGTCCTCACCTCCTTACTCTATGGCTGCGAAACCTGGACTGCGTACAGACGGCATGAGAAGCCGATCAACCACTTTCATCTGCGGTGCCTCCGAAACATTCTCCACATTCGCTGGCAGGACAAAGTCTCGGACACAGAAGTCCTGAAGCAGGCAGACCTTCCCAGTGCCATCACCGTCATGCGCAAGGCCCAGCTGAGATGGGCAGGCCACGTCTCCCGCATGCCAGATGACCGCATTCCAAAGCAGCTCCTCTACGGGGAACTCTGCTTTGGCAAGTGCTCAGTTGGAGGGCAGCGAAAGCGCTACAAGGACAGTCTAAAAGTCTCCCTAAAAGACTTCAACATCAGCACTGAGTCCTGGGAGTCTCTTGCCTCCGACAGACCCTCCTGGCGCTAGCTCATCGCCAAAGGAGCCCACGCAGCAGAGGAACGCAGGTCCCGTCAAGCCGAGGAGAAGCGAGCAGTACGCAAGGAAAGAGCCGCCAGCACTAACAGCAAAGCCCCTACCCACTTCTGCCCTACCTGTGGGAGAGGCTTCCTTGCCCGGATTGGTTTCATCAGCCACCTCCGGACACACCGTAGAAATTTATTTACAAACTAGATGTCTTTGGTCATCTTCGACTACGAAGGACGAACAACAATCCAAAGAAAATTGGAAGAATCGTAATTGCTTGATACTCTGTCAGTCGCTCGCGCATTTTTAATACCATGTTCCATTTCAGTAGTTTAAAATAGAACTATCTAAAAAGAATTTTCAACAAAACAGCGCTTAATGTGCGGAACCTAACTGATTTAAAGCAAAACGTAATCGTGAGTAACAAAAATGGAAGACTGGATAATGTTCCAGGTCCAACCTCGTCCCCACCTTCAAGGGAAGGCCGTGGGGACGAGCTCGTCCCAGGTCAACCATTCGGGCTCCGTCCACACTACGCGGGAGGAATTTGAAAACGGAGGTTTCACTCTGAAAAAACGCATCAAATGTTTTACGTTCACACTACGGCTGAGAAATTTAAAAACGCATCAATCAGCGGTCATTTTGAATTTGTGTTTGAAGAAAACTCGGTCAGGGAAACCATACGATCATCGTGGCGACATCGTTTTCGAAAAGCTCCGTTTTCAAAATGTTTTCCGTCCACATGATAGCGAAAAGCCGACGTTTTCAAACTCCTCCGGTTTGAAGAGCGTTTGCAAAAAAGCTCCGTTTTCATGACGGATTAGTGTGGACAGTAGGCCTACCCGTGGTAATAAACCAGCTTTTTCAAATTTCCCCGGCGCGTCGGTGTGGACGCTGTTTCACTAGTATCAATGAAAAAATATTTTGTCTTTCAATAGGGAGGGAATGGTCTATATCAGAAATCGCTCCCATCCATTTACTTTTTGGAATTTCACGCTGCCTTCTTAATACTTCATATCCTGAAGGAAAATGAGTGCGGCAAGTTTCTCTTAGCTTGAAATTTTGTTCGCGGAAGGCGAAAGTTCCTTTGTCGTTTCCGTAACAACTTTTGAAGGCATCGTTTGAAGCAGATTTTAAACCATCTCCTTTCAAACTCAACACTAGAACTAAAGTTTGGACATTTTTATGATATTCATTTTCCGTCAACTGGGTTCATTTAGGATTTTTAATGCCACAAGTACATCAAAAGCGATTTTTCCTCGTATCGCACGTGCGGCCTCTACCACTTGCTACCCAGCCACGTGCCCTTACAGTTCTCCATACCAGTTGCTTTCTCGGCCACGTGCTCATACTGTTCCACCTCTAGCTTCCGTCCACGTGCCCATCCAGTTTTGTTAGTTGGGCCTACCACTTGCTCCACAGGCTAGGTGCCCATTCAAGTTTGTCCAAAACTGCACGATTACGTTTTAAGAGGCGGACAGACAGCTAAAGTTTTCTCCCCATTTTATAATAATATTAGGTATGGTCAAAAGGAACGATATTACAGTTTGCGTGGAATCGTGAACAATTTAGCTACCAGAATCTTCTATGTTTCTCAAGCTGATCGTTAGCAATACATCTCAATTTTCCCCACCCATACAAAAATTTCCTGTTTGCCTTGGTAAAATCCCGGCTATTTAGCCTCTTTTCGATAACTTAGTACTCGAATGTGTTGTCGCTTCATCTCAATTTGGGGGAAATTTTGCTCATTGTTGAAACCACAAAAGTGAGCACAACTGCGACATGCGTGCTCAACCCACGTGCTCAAACCACGTGCAGTGTACCGTACACGTGCGGGTGGCTCGTGTAAATATATGGATAAACAACCAGACATTACCAGGGGCTGTTACATTCATTTAATAGTATAATACTTTCCTCAGTAGTTTGGCAGAGTGGTGAAATAAGACTGAACAAGGTCTTGGAAACGTTTTCTAGGTGAGTGTGGCGACAATTAGAAGTTCAGGAAAAATTGTTCCTCACAGGTGATTCTGCTATTCGTTCACTGCTGCTATATTATTGGCCTTTAATCTTAGCGCATTCGCCAGTATTCATTAACTTCTCGTTTGATGTAAAATGAATATTTTTTAGGCGAGGTAAGAGCAGTGCTGTGTCAGTGGATATCGCGATATTTCATACCAGATCTGCCTTTTTTGTTTCAACCTGACTATGCCGGTTTTCGCCAGACCAGGGCTTTACGTTGATCATATTTGAGTGGTACGCCGGCCAGCATACTGACTTTCTCGATCAACTGGAACCGGTAATCAGTGAGCACTTGCTAGTTAGAATCTCTTGAACCAGAGTCAAAGTATTCACTATCTAGAAACAGGTGAACTGGTTGCATGCTCAACTCAACAGCTTGTTTAACTTTTTGTTAAACAAACTTTGAGAATAACTGAGTGACGCGACAATTTTCAAGTCGGTGAATTGAAAATATTCTGTTTACGATGACTTCTCCAACCATGATCTATTTTTAGAACATTTCCAAGCTCAAAACGCGGGGTTTTTTTAAGTTATTACTTTCATCAATGAATTCTACTTATACATCTTTCAACAGACAATGGCCGTCTTTGTACTAAAGACGTATTATCCGTCTGGACGAACTTGGCCAAGCATTTGTAGTTCGTCATGCGTCTTTAGTATAGAGACGGGCACAAGACGTATTATGTATCTAGACGAACTATGCTTAATAATAATAGGTATTTCTATAGCGCCGATCTGTTTTAAGCGCTTAATTTACAAAAGCAAAAGAGCTAAAAAGAAAAGTTCTACGAGATAAAAGTACAGTGTACAATGATAAAAATACAATAAATTAAGAATTTTTTCTAGCTAAAAATAATAATTTTTAAAAAGATGTCTTTAGTTTACGTTGAAAAAGACTTGGATTATCGCATGAACGTACTCCATTGGGTAGTTTGTTTCAAAGTTCTGGAGCTGAGACGGATAAAGTTCTTGATCCAGGTCTTTAGGTTAAAGTTAACAGGGTTAAGACGAAGTGTGGATGATGAGCGGAGTGTTCTAGACGATATAAAGTATCGAGTTATCAGTTCTTGAAAGTAAGGCCCTCGTAGTGCGTCGTTCAAGACGCGCGATGAAGGATAGTTCGTCTTGACGCATAGTGCGTCTCGTGCCCGTCTTTATTCTAGAGACACATAACCAGACGAACTACAAATGTAGGAACAAGGTGTCCAATAACACACTGTCCAATAGAAAACAGGTGCCCAATAACCAACTGTCCAATAGTAACAAGTGTCCAATAACAAAGTGTCCAATAACCAACTGCCCAATAGGAACAAGGCATCCAAAAACAAACTGTCCAATAGAAAACAAGTGCCCAATAACAAACTGTGCAATGGTAACAAGGTATCCAATAACAAACTGTCCAATAGGAACAAGGTGTCCAATAACAAACTGTCCAATAGTAACAAGGTATCCAGTAACAAACTGTTCAATAGGAACAAGGTGTCCAATAACAAACTGTCCAATAGGAACAAGGTGTCCAATAACAAATTGTTCAATAGCAACAAGGTGTCCAATAACAAACTGTCCAGTAGGAACAAGTGTCCAATAACAAATAGTTCAATAGTGACAAGGTGTCCAATAACAAGCTGTCCAATAGGAACAAGGTGTCTAATAACCAATTGTCCAATAGCAACAAGTGTCCAATAACAAATTGTTCAATAGCAACAAGTGTCCAATAACAAACTGCCTAATAGAAACAAGTGTCCGGTAACAAAGTGTCCAATAGGAACAAAGTGTCCAATAACAAACTGTCCAATAGTAACAAGGTGTTCAATAACAAACTGTCCAATAGGAACAAGGTATCCAATAACAAACTGTCTAATAGTAACAAGGTGTCCAATAACAAACTGTCCAATAGTAACAAGGTGTCCAATAACAAACTGTCCAATAGGAGCAAAGTATCCGATAACAAACTATCCAATAGTAACAAGTGTCCAATAACAAACTGTCCAATAGTAACAAGGTGTCCAATAACAAACTGTCCAATAGGAGCAAAGTATCCGATAACAAACTATCCAATAGTAACAAGTGTCCAATAACAAACTGTCTAATAGTAACAAGGTGTCCAATAACAAACTGTCCAATAGGAGCAAAGTATCCGATAACAAACTATCCAATAGTAACAAGTGTCCAATAACAAACTGTCTAATAGTAACAAGGTGTCCAATAACAAACTGTCCAATAGTAACAAGTGCCCAATAACAAACTGTCCAATAGTAACAAGGTGTCCAATCCCAAACTGTCCAATAGTAACAAGGTGTCCAATAACAAACTGCTCAACCGGAACAAGTGTCCAATAACAAACTGTCCAATAGGAACAAGTGTCCAATCACAAAATGGATCCTCCTTGTGACAGAATACCCCTCGTAGCTGATCCCAAAACCTTTCATTCAAAAATGACTCTTACGCTCAGTGACCTATGTCCTTTCTTCGAATTTTGTTGTAGTTATGATTAATTGGTGACAGGAGTTGGTATCGTCTGTAATCAGGGCATACTCGTAATTAAACAAATCATGCTCATGCTTCCGATAGCAGTCCGATTTTGTCAATCAGTCGCATTCAAATGTTCTTTTAATGCTTCCACGAACACTCCCGTGAGTTTGTCGTATTTTTCACAGCTAGATCATCCGCTGTTTTTCTTTATTTCATGCTTCGTCTCGGCGGGGTTACTCCCCAATTTTGTTTATGATAGATATGATACATGATTGATATACCAACAACCTCGTCAAGACTTAGGTCTGTAAGCTTTTTCATACCTGCGTTATTCGGAGAAGTATTTTACCCAAATTTAAAGGGCTTTGTCTGGAGACGCCTTCCCGCGGGGGAGGGGCGGGGGGGTGCATATGTTGGTGTCCCTCGGAGAGTGCACCAATATGGCGGCCGTAAAGTAGCAGAAACAGCTGTCACGGAGTTTTGCCATTAAAACGAGACGTTTATACTCGAGGTCTCCTACACGTTGAAATCAATATTTCATAGAACGCAAGGACCGATCAGTTAGCAAAACCTTACAAAATAAGTCATCTTTTGATCAACGTGACAGCTCTCGGGCCGAGGTCGCCATTTTAATGTCACGCAACGCAAAATCTTGGAACTTCAAACGTACCTTACTAATACAAAACGAAGTACCCTGGCGAGCTAAAGCTTTGAAAACGTCAAGTTCTTAGAGAGTCTTTTATCTGATTGAACTAACACCTCAGAAGGATGGGTAATTTTTATTTCGGAATATGAGGATGTCACATGAAAACCGCAATATCATTTCGTTTTCCCTGTGCGTAACACATAGTTCCCGTTATTTTGTTCTTTATAACTGGCTCTAAGGAAACACAAAGCAAACAAAAATAAATGCAAGGGGTATGGAACATGTAAAGTTTTAGTCTTATTTTGGCCCTCTCGCCGTTACGCAACATAGCGTTGCGTGACGGAGCATTACCGGTAATCGACCGTCGATAATCAAATGTGACTTTTCTGTCTTCATGTCAAGCGCACGTGCGGCAACAACAACAAGTTTGGGACATACAACAGTGTTTTCTTCGCATTATATGAATGATCACCCACACAAATCGTGATTACAATTCATGCCAGAGGAAAAACAAATCGTTTTATTTCTTTTCTTCTTTCTATTTTAAATTAAATTTCAGTAGCGGCCAAATTTGTATTGCACGTGCAGCCTTCTTAATTACCGCTCTCTTCACGTGCTCCAGCGACTCGCGTGCAGATAAAATTGCTTACCAGACATCGCTGAGTCGATTCGAAAAAGATAAAACTTACGGAAGAGACGTTTGTTCGCAAGCAAGCTGCCTTTTAAGAGTCAAACTTTCCTTGAGTTCGTAGTTACTATCTGAAGGTAAGTTTAAGTAAAACGAGGTCGACAGTTGAAAATTTAGTTTGATCGGCGAGCCGCAGCGCAGTGTAATCAGGTGTAAGTGATATTCAATTTGACAGACATCGCCACGAGGTTGAGCGTACGGAATCAACTTTTCGCTGGTGAAAGATCCGTTGAACTTCGTGGATTTTTATAATCTCAATTAACGAAATTTAGACTTGAGAAATGATGCACAAGCGGAAATCGAGAGAGGAGAAAACGGTTATAGGGACGAAAATACTGGAAAATATAACCAAGTGAATTAATTTTATTTGATGTAGCAAGTCGACGATCAATGGACACTGTCTGAATCATTTCGGGAACTGTGCTTGTAGTCGTTTGAAGCAGGCAAGGACTTGTTTTCTATGGAGATATTAACTCTTGTGGGAAAGAGGGAAAATAAATAATACTGGATGATTTATTTGCAAAAATATTGTGATTTCAGGTTTATAAGGAAGCAATCAACACCGAGTAGGGAGCCAGAGTACTAGAGTAATACGTAACATTATCATCAGCCGTTTTTTTTTTTTTTTTTGTTAATTTTCTTTCTTTCTTTCCTACCTTTGGGGGAGTTGGGGAATTGAAATTCGGCCCTTTTTTTGTGCGGAGGTCGAAAAAATACTCGGTTCTTTTGTGTTCCTCAATTACTGTATCGGGTACCATCCCGAAACCCGCAACGAACCCTTCCGGTCACCCTCCCTGGCATAGAGCGTCATGTATGTTCACGTTTTGTTTCCAAGTCGCGTGAGTGAATTTAATATGGCCGCTCGTGATGTCGAAAAATCGTTCAAAATAACTCGTCAGATCACTTAGGTTATACACACGACGTGTCAAACTGCTGAAAATTATTCTCATCCGCCAGAAAATACGAAAAAATTCATTTGGAAATGGTTCGAACCAACCAGACTAACACGGAAAATCCATTCGGTGTTGGTGATGTGCACTCACGTTTGTCACGGTCCATGGTCACGTTTCTGCGCCGCTCGCATGTGATGAAGACTACTGAGAAAGACTGAAAACGGTTACGTAACGCACTACTGAAGCGGTTTTAATTGTTGACATCAGCTCGCCATCTTTGTCGAGGGTTTGTGAAAGGCTTTTTTTTCGCTATTACTTTGGACAGAAAAACATCGGCACGGCTTGAACAAACACCGTAACAAGTTAACAATAGCAGAGTTCGAAAATTCGAGAGTTGATCTTACATAGTAAACCTGAGTAAAGTGCGTGTAATAGCTGTCCGTCCTGTTGACTTCAGCCATGGACTAAGTTATCCTCAAAACATAGGATAAAACGACATGTATGGTTATCTTTCTGTTTAGTTAACATTGCCACAATATGACTAACAGTGAGGACTGTGTTGTTGTTGACTATGCGTAGTATTTTCGTGCCTTTTCAAACGAAAATCAGTGTTCAGTGGGCAAACGGATTCAAAGAGTTTTCACTTAATTTGGCGCTTTACTATATTTACAGGTTTTAAATCCCCGAGTGCTTGGCTGTAGAGTGTGACTTTACATGGCGGAAGACTTTGAAGATAATAGAAACCAGTTTCAGGTCAGTTCAACCAAAAGGCATTTTATTGCGTGCCTACTGATTGAAGGCTAAAGCTGGGAGCAGGGTCTCTCTAACTTAACCTTCGTTAAGGCGTCGTTTTTAGAAAGGGAGAAAAGGAAAACAATTCAGCGAGGGAGGGTACGATTGCAGGGTTACAGCTAACAGGATGTCTGAGACCATTTACCAAACCCAGCTTGACCAACCTGTAACCTCACCTCTCTCCCGAGCAAATGGCCTGGTAACATCCCTCATTAGTATCACCCAGCTAGTGGACTAATGCAAATCCTGCATTTTAATTGGCTATGCTACTAGAAGACTATTAGTAATAGTCCTCGACTAGCGAAATTGGCGCAATCGAACATGACGCTTTCTTTCGTTTTATTCCCAAATAAATATTTCTTCAACTTGCATTATATTTGCTAACTTTATTATTGCCTTTTCTGTCTGACTAGTTGGGTGATACTAAAACAATTAGACCCTTCACCCTCAAGGGCCACGAGTCTAATAATTGTTAATTAGTAGAATTCTACAAGTATACTCATTCAAATGCTGTACTCTGATTGGCTGAGCCATTACACACTATCAGCCATTAGTGTGCAGTAGCTTGGTTTGGTCCAAAAAATTACAACATTTCCTCGTTTCTCCGAAGTTTTGAAAGGACAATTAGAAACAAATGGATAATGAAATAGCTGAGAAGACTAAAATTAAAAAGCTTGAAATTGTTGACAGAAACTGATAAGCGCACATACACAACTGCAAATGTCAAATTGACAATTCAGTCCGTGTAAATTCTCTAAAGCGTGAAGTTTAATACTAAGATCAGAAATAATTAGTGTCATGTTCCACAACCGATGGAACTGGATTATTGTAATGAACGGATACGACACACGAATCAAATCTGGAAGTCCGCCATGCTGCTTTAATAATCAACTTACCAACTTACATTGTGCGCTTAAGTATATTATGTATGATGCACCGAAATGTACCTTACAAACACTACAATTAGAATCGTCATTTGCAGGAAAATTCAGTTTGAATTCTACGAAAACAATTAGATAATTTGCTTGTATATTTTCTTTGGGCTATTTTCTAAACACCCAATAAAGTGTCCTTGTAGGTTCATGTAGGAGTTCCCTTCCTGGGGAGATAATGGTCATGTGTTGTCTTCATGGATAATCATCATAACAGCACTATTAAGGTAAAACTTCATGTATCTGAACTACTTTTTTGTCATTAAACAAAGGGTGATGTAATTGTTCCAAGACCCACACCATCTGGTCTTCATAAGACTTCTCACATTGTAAACAACAGTTCACATCCACTTGCTGACTCGAAAAGCCAGCAAAGAAGCAACCATTTTGGTATGCCACCATCAACGTCTAAAGATTCAACAATCAAGGCAAAAACCAGCAATAACCATCGCCATCACAACCACAGTATAAAACGACATTACAGCAAAGGAAAGGTTAAGAAGGATAATGGCAGTGAGGGTCGCTTCAGTCGCACTGCAACTGTTCTCCGTCAAGCAGGTCTAATGAAACTTACACTTCAGATTGCGCAGTTAATCAAAACTAATGAAGATCTTCAAAAAGAAATTGATGAACTGCAGAAAGAAGCTGTTCAATTTAGTGAAAATTTAAAAAGCCAGCTGCAGCAGAAACTACAAGAAAATGGCAGCATAAGTGAACTACAAGACAAAGAGAAATAACATCTTCCCTTTCTGTATTGGAGCATTTTATGTAATAATTTTATAACAAAAACCAAAGTCATTTTTAACTTTGCGGACTGGAGCTAATGATCAAACTGGAATTTTAATTTATTGTACATGTTTTGGAAATGTTGGTTATTTTGTTTTCAGGAATCTAAGAATTTGTGAATATTGTATAGAAGACTTACAGATTGCTTAGGCTAGGAGGTGTGTGGTGGTTGTCAGTGTTTACTTTGAGGATTTAAATAATTATTAATCCACTGTTGGCCGGGACTCAGAGGTTGTTGCTTTTCAGGATATTGCCATGCTTTTATAACGAAGCTGTTGATTTGTTTTGAGGATGATAATGAAAATGGGAATGGCAGTGACAGCAACAGTGGTAATGATAATGATAGTGATAGTGATAATAATAATAATAATAATAATAATAATAATAATAATAATAATAATAATAATAACAATGATAGTGATAAGTTATTAATGATAATGATAATGATAATGATAATTAATGATAATGATAGTGATTGTGATAGTGATAGTGATAATAGTTTTGTTTCATTTCTTCTTTATCATGACCAATCAGAGGACATGGCTTTATTGGCTCTGTTTTCTCACACTCAAGACTAGACAGATAATGACCAGTTTTAGTTGATCATCACAGTGATAACAGCGTAGCAGTAGTTCAAATTGCAATGTTTAAAACGTTTTTGTGATCATGTCAGGGCTCAAAATACCAGCTAGTCAACAGACAATTTCCAAACAATATTGATCTGGCCAATTTTTTGTTTGTGGGCTATTTTGACCAGGAGCCTGTAACTAATAAAGAGGATAAACACATAACAGTCACAGAATGGTAAACTTGTGGCCCTTCATTTAATTACAAAGTTGTAGTAAGTGTAACTGGTTTAATAAACTGTATGGAATTTCAGTTGACAAAATGACCAGAAAAGTAAACTAAATTTGAGTAAACAACACACAGCATATATACATTCTAAGAGAAGAAGATCTGTTTTCAACTTCAGGGTCACAATTGAATGGCACATAATTTTTGGAAACTATGGAAGAGTAGTCCAAAATAATTGAATCCTAGCAATTTAAAGATCAAAGGGCTCTTAGAGCCAGCTCATTCATGTAATGACTAATTTGCATTATGCTCTTTGGTTATCCATATTTCTCATGGGGATTGGAAATCCAGTCCCCTCTGTGGGGGGAATAGGCATTATCTGGGGTCACATGCATTGTTGATCCATTCTCATGAACACCAAAACCTGAGATATCACTTTGAACTAATTGCCACTGGCAGAAACTTGGGAAGATTAAAGGGCAGGTTTTGGCACTAGGAGCTGTGAGATGGATTGGGTAACCAATATGAGCTATGATTGGTCGATGGTTGTCTTTGAAAACCATTGATCAATCATAACTCGCATTTTGTATCTGAACCAACCCAGTAACAGTAAAAGTAAAGTCTGCATGCAAGTCAAGTGGCCTATCAGGCCAGAGCTAATATCCCAGTTTCTTTAGCATGAAGTGACTAAGAGTGTTTCTACTTCCTCCCGAATGGGATGCATGTCCATCGTAGGGTTACCCCCAGCACTAAGTTCACAGGTGCCAATTCATACACCTGGGTGGAGGGAGGCACTGTGAGAGTTAAGTGTCATGTCATGCTTTAATATTCATGTTTTTAAGTAGCTATAAGGCAAGAAATAAGGCTAGCAACGCAATTACAAGGTACAAGCTCTTAGAACATGAAGGTGCAAGATATTAAAAGCTCCTTAATTTCAGTCTCTAGAAAACTGTGCAAAAATAAAATGCCAGTTTATGCTGGTGTGGAAGCACAAGTCAACGTTAATTTGATCATGCCTTTTGAGTGAAAATTTACAATTGCATACTTTTTAATTTAACCAACCTGCAACTCTGTTTTGTTCTGTACAAGCCATGTGTATTATCTATGAAAAGAATAAATACTTAAGTTGCGAGATAGTGTGAAAAGATTTGCAGTTTAGTGTATTGTTGACAAGCTCTCCACTTATGATAATTAATGATGGTATTTAGTTAAACGATATCTTCAAACCTTCCAAGCTATAGTGGGGTCTGATGCCAACTTCTCTCGCTTCTGTTGAGGCTTCACTCAGAGCTCGTCCAAAAACATGGACAGGGTTGGTTAATTTTCTATTTTTAAGTGGTAACAATAAGATTACGAGCTCGAGATTGAATTCTATCGCGTGTATAGTTGACGAGGTCACAGCCCTCAGAGTCAACTATCACGCATAGATAACGATACCGAATCTTGACTGAATCTACTAGTCGTTCAAAACTTCATCTAAATCCTTTTCACAGACACTTTGAAAGGCAAAGAAGCGGGCGCCATTTTGTTAAACACGGCTCACCGCGGCTACCCACTATTTTCAACAGAACAGACTGAATTGATAGCTAGTAACAAAGCCATGTTAAAGAGGACAGCATTCGTGATAGAACGCGTTAGATATACAAATAACCATTACAGGCAACACTATGGTTTTGAGGTTCAAGTCGTTTCTAAACCAGCGCAGCGGGTCAGAGGAGCCAGGCCACTCGAATGCAGATGATGTTGCCCCAGCAGTTTAACATGTAATGTAAGATAAGGAAGTCTCCAGCTGTAGAAGATGAGAGGAAGAATTCTTATTAATAAATAGTATTAATGCCAAAGGAACATGCCCAGAGTCATGCGTCTAGATTTACAATTTCATATAACTAACTGCTATAAAATACTAATTACAAACTATTTACAAATATATGAATAACAATTAAATTAAATTGAAAAAGCATCTGTTCACAAAACAGCGTTTATGACGTTCAGTTCTGACATGTGGCAGGATGTAAGGGTGTCCCTTTTTCCTAAAGCTTCTTGATCTCTGGAGTGGAAGCAGTTCATGAAAGGGATGAGTACTATCAGTAGTTATCTTAAAGCCTATCTTTGATTCTAATTACATCAGTTATGGGTGTATATTTGCTGGTATGACCATAACGTAGAGCCCGCTTGCAAAACGTATTAATTTGGGAGAGATATTATTTACTATAGTGGGCGCAAGCCCTCACCTCAATCGCATAGGTCAAAAGTGACATAAGGCTGTCAAACAGCAGTGTAAGTTCTTGTAGCGAGTAGCCGTAGTATTTACAAACTCTAAGGATGTACAGTCTAGAACTCGCTTTGCTACGCATATTTTCGAATTGAGTGTCCCAATTACATGGATCTTCATTGACTGTAACTTCTAACAGCTTTAGTTCACTCTTCCCACTGAGCCATTCCATCCGTGGACTCTGGGAGGGGCATCCTGGTTTTACCCTTAACAACCATGTCAAAGGTCTTTTTGATGTTCAGCTTGATCAGGTTATCGTCAGCCCAACGTTTGATGTTTGCTACTTCCTGATGTGATGAATTATTCAGTTGTTAATGTATGGGTTAATGTCATACAACACTATCTCTTCGCACAGAACGCGATGGGAGACTGAGTCAAAAGCCTTACTAAAATCAAATGAAAAGGTCCTGACAAAATCCGCATCCCTGAAGGGGAAAGCGTAGAACTCGATCCTAAAAGTACAAGTAGCCGACAATAAGGGTTTTTTTTTTTGCGGAGTGGGGCTGGAGAAGGAGGTTACAAATTGGTTAGAAAAAGCGGTGTGCTTTGATTCTTAACCATGTTTTGCGACTTAGATCGGCAAGCAAATCTAAGGAGCTTAAGCAAACCACGAAGTCAACGGCAACGAGAACGTCACCAAACAAAAGGTTTATTGACCAAAACAATGTCTGCACGTGCGTTATAAATCTTCGTACATCTCGTATTATATATTCGTCCTCGACAAAACAACAACGTGAAATGACCAAGAGGCGTTACATCTTAAGTTTGAATAGGGAATTAAGACCGCTTGGCGTACTGAATAATTCTAGATAATTGCGAGATTCAAAGATAAAATATATATAAATTTTTTTCAGACGTCCGACCTGTGCCCAACAACTGTCACATCAAAAGCAAAACCTGAAATCAAAAATAAGACTATCTCATCAAAAATAATTAGTCAGTTAAAATCAAAATAAATAGCTCACATCAATAACAAATGGCTTATAACAATGGACTACTCGGCTGTTGTTTATGTGGGCGATGCCCTGGGGGCGATGTTGTTTTGGTGTGGCCTCCCAGTCCTTTCCATTCAAGTACAAATCTGCCACTCACGTTTCCGATGCACGTGTACACGTGATGCAGGGTTGCATTCACGTGCCGAGACGTGCGATAAGTCAGAGTGAACTTCATCGACCCACACAGTCGTGTGATAGAAGTGAAAGTTTATAGGCTGCAGGAAAATATCGTTCAAAGTCAACTTTCGTTACAGGCTTGGAAACGCACAAAAGGATTTCGTCATCTACAAACAGAGAATACAAAGCGAATTCAGAACGTCCGGGAGCGAATATGTGTGAAATTCTGCTTCCTAGTGGGACCACACTCAACAACAGTCCATCGAAAGCGAGCAAGAGTGTCGATGTTTCTTCGGACTGTGGCAAACAAAAGTCCTCTACTTCTGAAGAACTGCCGATCGAGAACTATGGAGTAAAAGGTACGAAACGTTATCCTGAATCATCATCTCGATCTCGTAGTCATCATCATCGGCATCATCACTCAAAATCGCTCAAAAAGAAAGACACTGTATTGCCATCGAATGTGGACAGATATCAGAGAACTGCCGCGGTGCTGCGCTGCTCAGGACTACTTAAAATCTCGCAGAGTATTTCCCAGCTCTTGCGGAACAATGAAACGCTACAAACCGAGATCGATGAGCTTCAACAAATTACGAGAGAGCACAGCAAGCAGTTACGGAAACAGATGCGAGAGAAGCTTGAAAAAGAAAGCAAAGCGAGCGGTGCTTGTAACGAGGAAGGCCAAAGACTACTAACTCTTCTCTCCCAAGTTTTACTTTGATAACCGGAGTAAAACAATTCTGGATTTTTGACGCTTTCGGACGTCGAAATTGTTATTTTCAGTGAATGCAATTCATCACGTTTTACTAAGTGATTTCCTTAACTGCATTCAGGTCACAGGTCCGCAACGCGTCCAAAAGCTAATTATGGCTTTAGTACATTATCAGGAAGCGGGCGCGAAAAGACTGTCCGCCGTGGCAGAGGATTGTGAGAACAGAGAGAGCTAGCCATTGTCTCAATAAACATAGCAACTTTGTT